ACACCCTAACTGACACGATTGCTGCAGACTCCATAGATGACCCACAACCCCAAGATCAGGGTTTAGGGTTTATAAGGTTTAGGATTTGGGGTTTAGGGTGTAGGATTTGGGGTTTAGGGTTTAGGATTTGGGGTCTAGGGTTTAGGGGTTTAGGGCTTAGGGTTTAGGGAGCCACCAGAAATCAGAGCAAGAAAGCAACAAGACAAGGACAACCTCAACTTCCAGAGTCTAAAAGCGACGGCTTGGGCTTTGCGCTCTGGGGCCCTAAACTTTGAATTGACTCAATACCCTGAACCCGAAATCTTGAATCCCATATATCTAGCCTCATACACACCCTAAATCCTAAACCCTAAACCCCTAGGTGCGGAGACCCTGCACCCTAAACCTGAGCAGAAGCATCCTGGGGTCGTATATTTCAGTCCCACAGAGAGGCCTCAGCACCCTGCACGCCAACCCTGAACCCCCAAAAACCCTATAGGTCCTGAAACCTAAAACCCTTAACCCCGGTTTAGGGTTTAGGGTTTATAGGGTTTAGGGTTTAGGGCTAAACCCGTGCTAAACCCATACCCTCCTAAACTCTAACATCTTTAAAACCGGTGATTCTGCAGCGAAGCCTTGGCGTCCACGAGGAGCCTGGCTGCCTGATTGTGCCTGAACATCACGCAAATCGACAGCGCTGAAGTCCACATCGGCACCTGGATTTGCATTGGTTTCGCTGGCTGGGGCTTTGGGATTCTAGGATTTAGTGCGTAGTTTAGGGATTGTAGGATTCTTCAAAGGTGGGGCTTAGGAATTCTGGGATTTAAAACTTAGGTTTAGGGAGTCGTGCAGGGAGTATGCAAAGCGGAAATGCGGCACGGCACCCCTGCTTCCACTTGGTCCTTCTTTGTCACAAGATTGAGGTCCTCAGCTGTACGAACAACTGCTTAGGGTTTAGGGCGTAGGTGTTCGGGTTTTGAGCTTGGGGTCGAGGATTTAGAGTTTAGGGCTTAGGGTTTGTAAGGGTGTAAGATGTCGACCGGGAGCAGCAATACAGAATATGGGCACACTGGGTACGCTGGAGAAACCGTAAGCAATTGCAGTGGCAGGGGTGCTCGCGGTGATGAATTAAAAAACCCTAAACCAAAAACATGAACACATCAAACCCTAAGCCCCAACCCTAAATCCAGAAATGTGGTCCAGCATCAGCTCGGTAAGCCAGAAGTCCTCGAAGCAACTCCACCTTTCCAGACCTTGGCTGCCAAAGACCCAACGCAACGCGAGGAACCCTACACCTTAAACCCTAGCTGCGGTTCCCTGAATTGTCAAGCCCTGCGGGTTTAGGATTCGTAGTGGGGGGTGGTGAATTTTGGGAGTTAGAATTCCGAGGTTGACTGGTTTGGACTAGCTGTCTCCGTTGATTTCGAGCATAGAAATAAAACCTAACAACGATTCTACGGGTCAGAGGCCTGGACACAGGGCGGCATAGTGCAAGGGATACCAGCCTCTACTGTCCTTGTCATCAGCAGCAGAGAAGCCATTCTGGAACAAGAACTTTTCGACCGACAGGGCTGTGGGGTCAAGATCCGAACGCGATGCTTCGAATCCAGGAACCAAATCTTGCACCGGCTCCACCAGGAATCCCCTCAAATGAACCGGCTGCAGATTCAGAAGCACTCGGTATGCGATGAGGTCCCGTTGTTGCAAGTGCTGAAGAAGCCTGCGCTCAAGTGCCTTTAACAACACCGGGCCCAACTTTAGCCGGTCATCTGGCACTGTGAAGGCACCCTCGCCCGGGGCGCCAAAGTTCGCAGACGACGCCGGCGTTGCGATGAGCTCCATTTTCGTGGCACTTCGGATCACAATCCACGATGCGTCCATGGACAACTCTCGACACGCCTTTTCGACTCTGCACCAACCTGAGGGAGCCACGACACACACACACACACCCATTTGATTGACACCTATCCTTGTGGGTAAAGGACATCGATGTTATCCTTTCTTACTAGTATCGGTAGTAGTGTTTTACAAATCAAATCACCTTCTCAACTTAAGAACGCGCTTGCTCTTCAACCCGATAACGATATTTTTTGCAATCCCTCGCCTCGCTCTGCCCAAGTGTGCAAGGTGAACACCGACGACTGGCTGGCACTGCCGACAACCGGGCAAAGCACGAAAAAGAAGGACGTTCTTGCGATGTAGGCCGGAATGCTGTCAATGGCCTTCGAAAGCTCGTCAGGCTGATGGCGACTTCCCAAGCTCCACGACAGTTGCCCCGACTGTTTCAGCTGTGGGCACGAAAAGTAATCATACCAAATGAAGAGAGGCTGATCACGAAATTGATCTGTCGCCAAGGGCTTAGCGCTGGGTACAAAGCTTTCTGTAAAAACTTCCAAGGGAACGAAGTCCCTTTCTGACAGCAGCGACTTGAAGGCATCTTGCAAAACTCTGAGCTGTCGGCATTCCTGAGCTGCTCGTGTTTCGGAAGGTTTCTAATGGTTCTGGGTTTAAGGGCTTCGGGTTTAGGGTTTTCGGGCTTTCGTGTTTGAGGCTTGCTTAGTTACAGGCTTGGAGCGAAGTCTATCTGCAATGCCAGAACAATCAGATTTTCTCGAAGACCCTATAACATATAATATAATATATATATATACATATATTTATTCTGTAATTAATATATATATATATTATGTAATATATAATAGATAATCTAAGCCCAACCCCAAACCTTAAACTGCGAGTCTAGGGGTAACCCTCAAGCCCCGATCTGGCTGAAGGAGCTTGGCTTCGCTGGAATAAACCTAAAACCCCAGACCCTAAACTGGGTGAACGTAAACAACTGGGTTGTCGTTCTGGGGCACTGAAAAGTATTTATGGATAGGTACCTCTATAGGAAAAATAGAGAACATTTTCAAGTTTCCCAAAGTGCCACCTAGACAAGGGAAAAGGCAAAACCCTTTTAATTCCGAAGCCGGATAAACCCCTAAATTGAAGCCACAAGCCCTCCAGAAAATCTAACGCACCAAAAGCTGCAGACATGGAAAACAAAAGCTACTAAAACCTGAACCCGAAAGCTGAGACAACAACCGAAGCCACAACCTTTAGCTGGTTTTCTAAAGCCAGAAACTGTAAGACAAGCTTTGGACCTAAACCCTAAACCCTAAACCCTTAATCCTAAACCGTGGAAAGGGTCTGGGTCCGGATGATCGACGCCGACCCACTGGTGTGAAACGAAGGCCGCCTTCCCGAGCTGCTGCTGAAACTCCACCTGCTTTCGGGTTGAGGGATTTATGCTTTAGGTTTAGGGGCTTAGGGCTTAGGAATTAGGGTTTGGGGGCTTGGGGTTTAGGAATTCAGGTTTGGGGGCTTGGGGTTTAGGAATTAGGGTTTAGGATTCAGGGATTTAGGGTTGAGGGTTTAGGGCCCAAGGTTTTGTGGCCCAACTCTGGAAGAGCAGAGAGCATTAATGGGCTAGTGTTGGGAAATTAAGGGTTTAGGGTTGAAGGGGTCCAAAACCCTAAACCCTAAACCCGAAACCCATATTAGGGGTGCGGGATTCAGCATCGTAGAAAGGATTCCGAACATTGACCAAGCCACAAGGGCCCCTTGGCTCATGAGGGCTTCGTGCGGCTCAATTTCCTGGGATGATGTCTTCGTAAGGAGCCGAGGAATAATAGGGATTACAATGCTGAGCAGCACCACGATGGTACTTGTTATACTTCGAACTACTGACTACTAGCTCACAAACAGGACTAGACTAGGTTAGACCAGACTACACAGGCTCGTCAAAACACAGCCTAACCCACTAAAAGAACTAAACTGAACCAAACAAATAATCTAACTGCTAAATCACGAACTGCATAACCAGCCCAACCCAACCAAACCAAACCCGGCACCACCCAACCCAGCCCACCAGCCAACCCAACCCAACCCACCAACCAACCAACCAGCCAGCCAGCCAACCAGCCAACCAAACAAGCAAGCAACCAACCAAGCAACCAACCACAACAACAGTAAACCATAACTTCTTTCCAGCCTTATTTACTTCCTTCATTCCTTCCTTCCTGTCCTTCCTTCGAATACTAATACCAACACCAATATCAACACCAATACCCATACTCGCACTCAAAACGCATACCCATACGATACTAATACTGATACTGATATGTGCTGATACTGAAACTGCACAAGTACTGATATCAATAATGCTATTACTAATACTATAATCCTAGATTTAATGCCAATACCACAAAAATGATAGGGAGTACCACAACTCCAAGATACCCAAACTAAGACTGACGATAACAATATTTATGAGCAGGTGCCTCTACAGGATATAAACGAGAAGCCAAAGGGTCGGTCTCTCGAATTGCACCGAGTTTCGGTCATGTCCAAAAGCGTCGGTACAGAGACGGTATACATCGGGAATAGCAGCCTTGGCAACTCCTTATGAAAAGAATGCCGACCCGATAACGATTCGGCGTAGAGCTGCAGCTGTGAGATGGCTTTGCCAGCTCCACAGCCGGGCATGGTGGCAAAATTGAGGGTAGCGTGCTGTCGGTTTCTGGACAAAGCTCAATCTGCGTGTGAGGTGCCAACTCATCTTTATTGGGGCCACATGCTGGTATGGGCGCATCATCGGCCACCTAAAATGCAGAGATTCTTCTGACGATCAGCAGCTTTCTGCTCCGCAGGTCTACCCTTGAAAAACAAATGGCCAGACGGTGTGGCGATGCCAGATCAAGGGATTGCGGCGTGCCTCTGGCTTCAAAGCACACCGCACTTCAACTAAATTCTCGTGGTCGTTAAACAGGAAACTGTATGAAACGATGTCTCGAAGTACTCGAATCCGATATGCTCCTGGCCCATGGAGACCTTCGTCAAATCAACTCCAGTGTCAACAACTAAGCCCTAAACCCTAAACCCTATAAGCCCTATAAAGCCCTAAACCCTATAAGCCCTATAAGCCCTATAAACCCTGGTCAGTGAAGCTCCCTTTATGGTGCCTTTCCCGTTTTTGCATCCTGGCTGTCCTCCGCGAACCGAAGCCCCCAAACCGTAAAAGCCGTGCTCATCTTACTCATTAAGTCCAAGCCCTGCAATCTAAATTCTCCTCAACCCTAACCCCTACAACTTCCTTTTTGGATTTGGGGATCTAGGGAACAGCCTAAACCCTAAATCTCATAGAACCCTTCTCGCACGCTCATGAAATACGCGTGTAGAAGCCTACAAGGCCCTGACCTGCCCCAAGTCCTGGTCCAAACCCAAAAGCTTCATAAAATCCTGACTGGCCTGGCGACTGGTCCGCACTCCGAAGGACAAGAGGACTGGGATTTCTCCGCTCAAGGGGCCAGCGAATGTCGGGAAAGGCTGACTGATTGTATATACCGGTGTAGAGTTTATAGACTTTAAGAATCCACCCTCAGAGTGGACCTTCGAAAGGGATAAGGTGTCAGGCAGAAGCCGGGTTGCAGAACCCCGACAGAAGCCCGATGAAACCCTCATCGAACCCGTCGAGTCCCCGATGTTCTTGGGGTTCGGGACTAGACTTTCTGGTTCCAAGGCTTCGGGCTCTGGGCTGGAAGAATGGGGGTTTAAGGTTACGGGTTTAGGGCTTTAGGGTGTAGGGGTTTAGGGGTTCGGGTTTGCTGCGTGGGTGTGGACCTTCGGGCTCAGGGTTTCCACCCTCGTCCCTCGACCCTAGACCTAAACCCCTAACCTATGGGCTGACGAAGCGCTACTGCTGAGGGCAACGTGGCTGCGGCATAGATACTGACAAGGTACAACTACTGAAGGATTCACCCCTCGGTGATGTTGAACGACAGCCACTTGACCCGTTCAGCTTTCAGATAGTGTAATTTGCTTCATGTAGCTCATACTATGAATGTCGATGAATGTAGCCGTATAAAGGCCAACCACGAAGAATCAGACCCCTGGCTAGTACTTACACCAGGATCTTTGCAATCGCTGCTGCCACTTCAGTGGCCATCATCGTTTCCAGAACGACAGCAGGCAGGTGTAGCACTACCTGTAGCCTCCATTGTAGTTCCTTCTTGGGGNNAAGGAACCACAATGGAGACTATTTGTGGTCACTAGTCTTCCTTGCAGTGGCTTTCAGTTTCGTCACGGTGGAAAGATTCTTAACGAGGAGTCTCTGTCTTGCGGCATTTGGGCGAGGACCTCACTGACACACGGACAGTTATGGCACTGAATGCAGTCACATGGGAGGGCACGCAATTGCGGGTATGCCAGCCAGAGAAAGAAGCGACAATTGTGACAGCAAGTTTCTTGAAAGACCTGGCACACGTGCTAGGAGCAGCAATGATACTACAGCCTGATGGACAACAGCTGCCTGAAATCTAGCCGCACTAACAATACCTTGGACCTTAAATCCGCTCTACCTTATACATGATACCTAAAGCCCTAGACCTCAAACCCTGAAACCCAATGACCCCAAAGCCTAATACACCCCACAGCCCCCCCCCCCCCCC